CCTGTGGCCCCCCCCGGGAGCCACAGGCCCGCAATCCCAGCCATTTTCGCGGTGTACGTGCGCACGCGCGCGTCCTGGGGGGCGGGACGGGGGGTTGTGTGGCTTCCAGGCCGGCTTGTCCTTCGCCTGGACTCGCCCGCTGCCCACCCTCTGAGACAACTAGGGACTTTTTTTTTTCTTTAATTTTTTACTGAAACAGGGTCTCACTATGTAGCTCTGGTTGTTCTGGAGCGCACTCTGTAGACCAGGTTGGCCTCAATTTATAGAGATCCACCTGCCTCAGAGCCCGAAGTGCTGGGACTAATGGTGTCCGTGTGTCACCCAGCCAGGACTTTTGAAACTCCTCCTGGAAGTGAGGGTGAGAGTTCGTGGTTATAGCGAAAACTCAAAGTTGATCTCACAAAGTATTGAATCTACTCGAACCCATTCCTTCTGGAGTGAATAGGTGTCCGTATGAGCTTGTGACTATGAAGTGTAACGAACGATACAGAAAAACTGAGTAAATACATGATGGTACAAATTTAGTGTCAAGCCAGGCGTGGTGGCGCGCAGCTTCAGTCCTAGCTCACTACAGCCCTCACTAGTCCTCACTCGAGAGGCAGAGACTGATCTCTTTAGAATTGGAGGCAGACTGGCCTTTAAGATCCTATTTCAAAAATAAATCTTTAAAAATCACTATCATCAGGTTAAAGAGATGACTCAATAGCCAAAGCAGAGTAAAACAGAGTTCATTTCGGGAGCCAACATAAAAGTGAGAGGAGAGAACTAATTCCATAAGGTTGTCCTTTGATTTCTGCACTGGCACTATGGCATGGGTGCCCAGACACATCAGACACACACACAAGCACCCATACCCACGGAGCCATCTCACTGATCCTAAATCTTTGCTCGATATTAAATTAATATTTGCATAATTGAGCATCTTCCACACTTTAGAGTTGACTGATAGAGTTTTATGACTGTTAGTGTTGAGAAAGCTGCGTTGATAACGTTTAGGACTTTGATAAGTATGTTTAGGATCACTTCAGAAGTTGTTGGAAAGCCTGTCCTAATCCCAAACCATAATTCGATTAATTATTTTTACTATTATTTCAGGAAACTTGAGCTAGCAACTCAAACAGTGGATTTTTAAAACAAAACATTGTAACTCGTTACAGCATTGAGTTATACTAACTTGATTCATACTTCAGCCCTAGCTCACGACAGCCCTTTAAAAGATGAAAAAGCCGAAGACTGTGTGGACGATAAAAATGTTGCAATTCATATTCTGCCATAGCCTTGGATATGAACTGAGGTATTTCAGGCCGCTGGTACTGTGTGCCCTGACTGTGTGCTTTGACTGTGTGCTCTGACAGCAAAGTAGGTGAGAAGCGTATTGTGGGTTTTGATGATATCTGGCAAGTGCAGCATGATGTGGCCATAGATCATGCTGTGTGTTGAGAACAAAGGCTGCAGTGGAGTTGCAAGTTTTGAGATGGGTGCATGCTGGCAGAAGCACAAGGGGTTCATTATGCAGGTGTTTGTGAATTAATTTTTGGTTCTTGGCTCCTTCAGACCCAATATTCTCTCAGCTGCCACAGTCAGTGACACCACCCCCAGTTTAAGAGGCTGGATATTAAGACACATTTAAGTTGTGTTGTAGGGATGGTCTTTGCATCCCTATCATCACTCCCTGGTGAAGAACACAGTCCCAGTGTCACACGGTAATCAGCCCCTTATCCACAAGATTCCTAAGCCCAAGTGGCTCAAGTGTTCATTAATAATAAACTAGACTTCTGCAGAGTGCAGTGCAGTGTCATGAGGACCACTTCTCAGAAGTAGAAAGGTACAAATGAGTGCCACAGCCATAGAGATGAGCCTGGAAGCATGCCTGGGTGCCTTATGACAAACAACACGTGCTCTCTACAAAGAGACTGAGATGAAATAAAAATTAGGATTGTGACTGGCTAAGCAAAGACTTGGAGAGAAAAGGATGTATTTGGCTTGCAGGTCCAAATCATAGTCCATCAGTGAGGGAAGTTAGGGCAGGAACCTGGGAGCAGAAACCAAAAACCATAGAGGAACACTGCTCACTGGCTGGCTCCCCATGGCTTCTCAGCCTGCTTTTTTTACACTACTTAGGACCACCTGCCCAGGAGTGGTACTGCCCACAGTTGCTGGACCCTGCAACATTCATCGTTAACCAAGAAGAATGCCCAACAGACTTGCCCACAGGCCAACCTGATGGAGGAATTTACTCAATTGAAGGTCCCTCTTCCCAGATGACTCTGGTTTATGTCAAGTTGACAAAGAACTAACCAGGACTGCCTGGTGGTGGTGGTGGCACAAGACTTTAATCCCAGCACTCTGGAGGCAGAGGCAGATGGGTCTCTGTGAGTTCGAGGCCAACCTGATCTACAAAATGAGTTCCACAGAGCTGTTACACAGAGAACCCTGTCTCAAAAAACAAAACAACCCCCCCAAAAAAAAACAACAAAACCCCCCAAAAATGTTCGTTCCAGTAAGATGAAACATGGACTCTGTAGCTGCCTTAGCTGCACTGACATGATCACTGAGCAACTAGCTCTTTTAGGCTAGTTCTTGTTTGCTTTCTTTACAGTTTAATTACAAAAAATAATTTAAACAAGCCAAAGAATGGAGAGATGAAGAGCTAACAGCCATGTTGCCAGAGGCAGCAAATGTTGCCATAATAGCATTGTCTGACTCCTGCTGTGCCATTTCCATTCATGATCCTAAATATTTCAGTGTTTGTTTCCTGGGTTTTCACACTGAGAAAATTTGATAACACTTTGGTAGTTCCAAATACCTAATCTGCATTCCTGTGTCCCCAATGAGTCTTTCCGGAGGATTCTTCTCAAATACATTACAGTTTGTAATTCCCAGGTCTTTTTATTCAAAGCTAGCTCATTCTTCCCTTTTCATCCTCACCAAGCCAGTCTTGTCTTGTGATTTCGCTTCCCTGTGGTGTCCTCCAGTTCACTCATCTCTGGACCTGGCCTTGTTCTTAAAGCTCAGTGGCAAGGTGGGCTAGCTTTGGATTACCTGGGGACAAGGCTGTGTTGTGGGAACCATTGGTTGTTTGTTGTAGTGTGGCATCAGGAGACATTCCTGGGATGTGAGGTTGGCGATGCCACTCTGACCCTTGGTCATGATGGTGACAGTCAGCTTCTTCCTAAGCAGAGTGCTTTTGCATATTTGACCTGGAGGCAGTGTGTGGGTTACCTTGGCATCATCCTTGTACCTGAAGGTGTTTGATTGTTGCTGAAATGGGCCATTTTCATTGGTGGCAAAATGGTGACTTTTATTATTATTATTATTATTATTATTATTATTATTATTATTATGAAGAGAGCTTTTCTTCATACTTGGAAGAGAGCTTTTCCTCATCAACTTAGACGACACAGTTTTTCCTAAAAAGACATTAAATGCTCAGCTCTTTCTGTTTCACTATCAATTTACCAGTTTTCAGTGGAGCTGGGGGTGTGACAGTGACACACAGTAGCAGTTAGCAGGCTAATAGATGTTTGCATTTTAGGTGTGTTGAAGGGAATTTAAACATTCTTTAATGTTTAAATTATACAACTGGCTGGAGGGAACCTCTTCATGCTGCCAAAATGTAAATAAAATTATCACCACCAAACAAAATTATAATGCATTCAGGGAAATCTGGAAACCAGGTATCAGGCATAAGAAGAGCTGTCTGTCATTGTTAAAAAGACCAAAGAGTTGCACAGCAGTGTTTGCTGGCGGCCACTTTGTAACCGATCCTAGCTGATTGTTTCTACACAAAGATTTTCCATGACTGCTGCTGCTGTGTTTTGGTGCTAAGAAGTAAACAAAGGGCCTTGCACATTTTAGGCAAATGCTGTACCACTGAGCCAAATTTCTAGGCCCCTAATAAAGAATTCTGAATAATAATCATAATAATAATCATGAATTTGTTGTTTTTGTTTTTGTTTTTTCTGAGTCTCACTGTGTAGACTTGGCTGGCCTGGAACTCACAGAAATCCACTTGCTTCTGCCTTGGCTCTGCCTCCTGAGTAATGGGATTAAAGGCTTGTACAAGAAGCACCATGAGAAGTGAGAGCAGTACTTTCTATTGGTAAAGACACTTTAAAAAAAAAATCAAAATGCCATTAAATTTTTTTTGTATTTCTTATATTTTACAAGTGCTTGCCTGCATGCATATCTATGTGTCACATATGTGCAGTCCCCCTCAGAGGCCAGAAGCGGGTGTCAGATTCCCTAGAACTCAAGTTACAGTTGAGCATATGGGCGCCATGTGGATGCTGGGAATCTAACCCAGGTCCCCTGGAAGAGCAATGTTCCGGTCATCTCTGTAGCCCCTGAAGTGGCATTTCTACTTCCTCCTCACACACAAACCCTCAGCTGAGTTTCACTTTTGAGCTGGCACTGTGGGATCCAGGGGAAAATGGTCGTGGGTATGGGAGAAAACGTAGGGATGGAAGAATCATGTTATGCTGCTCAACTTGGTTAGGAGCTGCCCTAGGGGCGGTACCAGCCAACAGGCCATGTCTTGGTGTTGCTTTCCCACACTCTAGTGCCATGTGCCATAAAGCTCCACAGCCTCACCTATACTCCACTGTACCATACTAGCAGACCATGGCATCAGTGATGTGTCGTAATAAACTTTACTCATTACATTGTCAGGATGGCTGTTCTTCTGAAGAGGTTGACGCTACAAACCTCAATTGGAACATGTTTCAGCAAACACATTGTGAAGCCAGACCCAGCACAGCTGTCCCTGACTGCCTCCACCCCGAAGCTCTTGTACCTCATTTTGGCCAAAGGTTTCAGTACTGATGGAAACACCCCTGGTGAGAAGAAACAGAAAAGGAAAGATGCTTTTACTAATACTGGAAGGAAAATTAGTGAGCGGATTATCCGTGTCCTGGATGAGAAAGGCACTGACCTGGGAATGATGCACCGAGCGGATGTGATCAGACTCATGGACAAGCTGGACTTGAGGTTGGTGCAGAGGAATGCCAGCTCAGAGCCACCCGAGTACCAGCTCATGACCGGAGAGCAGATCCACCAGGAGCGGCTAAGGATCCGGGAACAGGAAAAGACCAACCCCAAAACTGGTAGGTGCTTTAATGTTTGTGCCTTGAATACATCAGAGCAGTGGTTCTTGACCTGTGTATGAGTCAAGACCCCCTGTTTGCATGGGAGTTGCATATCAGATGTTTACATTCTGATTCAAAACAGCAAAATCAAGCTGGGCGTTGGTGGTGCACGCCTTTAATCCCTTTAATCCCCTCTCGGAAGGCAGAGGCAAGTGATCTCTGTGAGTTCAAGGCCACCCTGGTCTCCAGAGCAAGTTCCAGGACAGGCTCCAAAACAATACAGAGAAACCCTGTCTTGAAAAACCAAACAGCAAAATCACAGTCAGTGAGGTACTTTTATGGTTGGGGGGTTACCACAACATGAGGAATTGTATTAAAAGGGCACAGGATGAGGGAAGAGGAAAACCACTGCTTCAAATCTCAATTCTTGTGTTTGCCAGTGTGTCAGTGGGACATGAGAAACTGGAGACTGATGTTTCAACATCATTGCAGGGAGGCTGCTTTTTCATCCCCCACTTCTATTCCTTTCCCTCATTTTTGATGTCCCATGTCCATCATCTCTTCTTTTAAAACTGTCAAGTGGGGTTAGAAACAAGGTAAGCAATCCAAAAATGATAGAAATTGCCTTCATCTTGTAGTCTGGGCTCCAAATGCATTGGTGAGCCATGTGGCTGATAGGGTAGGGAAGTGACACTTGAAAGACATGTTTCCCAGATCCGACCTCCTTCCTGTCATTGTGCTTTTCAAGTACCTCGTAAATCCTGAAAAGGTTCAAAGTACCCCTGGCCTGTGTACTTGGCCAGTCACCTTCAGGCACCTGTCACAGAAGCCACTTAGAGGCCAGGAACTGGGCACTATATGGAGAGGGGGTTGGCTTTTATAGCTGCCAGGTATGGAATACTGCTCCATGGGCTTCATACTGTGGCAAGGACTGGGGGACTGGCCCCACTGTATAGGCTGAGCAGTATGAGGAAAGAATACAGACGTTCATAAGAAACTAACTGGGGCCAGGCGTTGGTGGCAATCGCCTTTAATCCCTGCACTCAGGAGGCAGAAGCAGGCGGATCTCTGTGAGTTCGAGGCCAGCCTGGTCTCGAGTGAGTGCCAGGATAGTCTCCAAAGCTACACAGAGAAACCCTGTCTTGAAAAAAAAAAAAAAAAGAAACTAACTGGGAGGTCAGGGAGTCAGGATATCAAACCATGTCCCAGCCAGAAAATGTAGGGCAGCAGACTAGAGTCTTCGGGGCTTTACTCCATTCTGATGGAGACCCAGAGCCAACTGGTGGGAAACAAGGGTGTGCTAAAAACTTCTGAAATGTAAAGGCCTATAAGAAAAGGTAATAGCCGGGTGGTGGTGGTGCACGCCTTTAGTCCCAGCACTTGGAAGGCATAGGCAGACAGATCTCTGTGAGTTCAAGGCTGGCCTGGTCCCAGGACAACCAGGGCTCTTACAAAAATCCTATCTTGAAGAAGAAGAAAAAAAAAAGGTAATAAACAGTCGTCTATTGTTGAAAAATCAGTGAATCTGGGAGTAATTCAGATTTTAAAACATTACTGAAAGTTGAAGTCTCCTCCACCTTCCCAAGAGATATCCCTTGTGTGCTCTCATAGACTTTAGCCAATGTTAATATGACAGATGTTCAGAAACAGAGTGTAGATTTTTGACAGTGGCACATCCCATATTCATAGGATGGTTGTGGGTAAGTCAGAAACGGGCCTGATTTATTTGTTCGCCCATCTCCTTGCATCCAACCTCTTCCCATTCTTCATTCTTAAGAGTGTTCATGTGTACCTGGCTTCTGTGAGCCTAAATGGGCCAGGCTGCCAGTGGCCGCCTCAGGTGCAGCTTCTCCATGCTCCTGCTGCTGTCACACTGATTTTCAGTACAGTGACAATAAGGAGCTATAGCTTGTCTTAAGGATTCCTCCTGCTGTCTGAGCTGCATCTCTGAGTTGCCTACTATGCCCCATTGTTTCTCTTGGGTGGTCTTCCTCCAGATTCACAGCTCAGTCTAACACGGGGTCGGAGGGAGGGTCCAGTGGGTGCTTGTGCACAAGTGTGAGTTTGAATCCCAGAGCCAAGGAAAATTCAGTCTCAGCTGTACTCCAAGATGGCCCCTTTGGAGAGATGGGTGGGAGGCAGGAGACTCACTGGAAGCTCAGAGGCTGGTGACCCTGGAGTACAGTGTGAAAACAGGAACCTTTCTCAAGGTGGGTGAGGACCACACTCGAGGTTGTCCTAACTACACACACACACACACACACACACACACACACACACACACTCGCACTCACAAGCACAAGTGCACACACCCACACACAAGCCTTCGAAGATTTTAGCTATTGTTTAGTACATTAAAAACAACAAACCTTTATGCCTGTCTCCCCCACTTGAAAAAACATCAAACAAGCCAGGCGTTGGTGGCGCACACCTTTAATCCCAGCACTCGGGAGGCAGAGGCAGGCGGATCTCTGTGAGTTCGAGGCCAGCCTGGTCTCCAGAGTGAGTGCCAGGATAGGTTCCAAAGCTACACAGAGAAACCCTGTCTCGAAAAACCAAAAAAACAAAACAAAAAACAACAAAAAAGCATCAAACAGTCCATGAAGCTGAAATGAGATGAAGGCTGTCATGTCAAAGCCTGTGGGGCCTAAACTCTTAGCAGTGTAGGTGGAAGCTGAGCTTTCAGAGAGCAGAAACACCCAGCAGTAAACAGCACTGTTTCCACCAGGACCAGCTGCGACAAAGGAACTCATTTTTTCTTCAAATATTGGACAGCATGATTTGGACACAAAGAGTAAACAGATTCATCAGTGGATTGAGAAAAAGTACCTCGTTCAAGTCACAATAAAGAAGGCAAAAAATGCTGAGCAGCCAAGGAATGAGATGGTGAGTAGGTGTGAGCGCCTGCTGGGTCTTTGTTTTCAGATGCAGAAATCAGATTGTAGAAAAACTGGAAAGACTATAGGCAAAGCCACTGACTAGTAACTCTACCACCTGGATGGTACCAGCTTCCTAGTGTCAAACTGTATGTACACTTACGGTATAGTTTTCCATATAACATATTTGCTACATAGAGACTGTTCTAGGGACTAGAGAGATGGCTCAGTGGTTACTAAGGACCCAGGTCAGTCCCCAGCATCCACATGGCAGTTAACAAGTCTGTAACTGCAGTTCCAGGAAATCTGAAGTCCTCTTCTGGTCTCTGTGGCCACACACATGTGGTATACATACATACTGGCAGAATACCCATATCCATTAAAAAAAAATTGTAATATAAAAGCTATATTGTGTTTTAAAAACTGCTGAATAGCTAACATGGGTTTTCAGCCTAAGCCACTTGTGTCACATACTCAGCTCAACTGCTTCAGACTTTCTGGAGACCAGGTGGAACCTACTTCCCTCCCTTCAGAATAAGGAAGGCACTTTGCCAAGACCCAGACCCAGTGCTTGATTTGGGAAAGCATGGGTGGGCTAGTTGTAGCCCCTTAGAGGCTGCAACAGAGCGGAGGCTGCAGTCTGCAGTGTTAGCTCAGCACATGGAGTTCCTGTGTAGATAGCAGTCCACAAGCAGATGTAGGAACTGACCAGTTCTGGGGTGCATGCTCAGTTGTACCACAGCATCAGAGACACTAAGCTGTAACTAACCTTGCACTGCTGTCCTTTGTAGGATGAGATATTTAACCAGATTCTCCAGACTATGACTGCGATAGCGACCTTCTCAAGCAGACCGAAAGCCATTAGAGGAGGAACCGCCTCCATGTGTGTTTTTCGTCCCTTGAGCAAGAAAGAAATGAAGGCGTACAGACACACTCAGGAGACTGAGGGAACAGACACTTTGAACAAAGATGACAGAAACAAGGAGTCAGATGTGCTGTGTCAGGGACTTTAATAAAAAAATGCAGGCTTGTGAAGAAGCTCCTGCTGGCTGCCCTGGAGACCCTCTCGCAGCCAGTGGTACCTAGTGGAGGGTAAATGATGTATCTGGCACCAGCATCTTGCCTTCTGGGCTGCTGCTGAAGTCTGCATTTTTAGACATGGGGGAGTCTGCCTCTTGTTTCCTTTTAGGAGGGAAGTACCCACTGAGGCGAGAGGCCAAGCTCCGTCTTTCCTGAGGCCGCTTTACCTTTGGGAGTAAGGATAACAGACAACTGAATTCCCCGTCAGTTACTTGTGTCACAATAACCATCCTGGATGGATGGACCGACTCACACCTTTCAACAGGCAGACATACACATGTGGTAGGGATGGGAGGACATACGGCAAGCAGACATCACAGCTGAGGGCTGGGCCCAGCAGCTCCACTTACTTTGAGCTTCACCCTCTTCCTGTCAGGATCGTGCACAACGCTATGCCTCATGAGGCTTTGCTGCAGTGCAGGAAAAAGAAGGCTGCTTTAGAAACCCTTGGTCCAGGGCTGGAGAGATTGCTCAGTGGTTAGAGCACATGCCACTCTTGCAGGGGACCCAGGTTCAGTTCCCAGAAACCACGTGGCAGCTCACAACCACCTGTATGTCGGTTCCAGTCATTAGCTTTTTAAAAAATTAAAAACTCTTGGTGTCTACTGATATTAAAATGTCATGAGATGGTGGTACAATAAACTACCAACTGCCTTTCTGTTGTAAGTGAATTTGACCCCACCCAACTCTCTGACCAGAGCCTAGGGGAGACTCTGACTCCTTAGCAGAGTGACTTTCACAGTCCTTTCCAAGGACCATGCTGGGAATTTAGTCCATCCCATCTACTGACTTAGATCTTTCCTGAGAAAGGATTGCGCTTCCAAGCTCAGGCTTGCTTAAAGCTCTCAGCTGCATACCTAAACACCAGATAGAAATCTGGCCTCTGCCCTGCTGGCTGATGAGTCCTGTGGTGTGGACTGATCTGAGCTGTGCTTGGCAAGTATACAATCCACAGTCAGACTTTTTTTTTTTTTTTTTTTTGGTTTTTCGAGACGGTTTCTCTGTGTAGCTTTGGAGCCTATCCTGGCACTCGCTCTGGAGACCAGGCTGGCCTCGAACTCACAGAGATCTGCCTTCCTCTGCCTCTCAAGTGCTGGGATTAAAGGCGTGCGCCACCAACACCCAGTTCATAGTCAGAGCTTTTAAGACACCAGCTAGGCTGAAGCAAACTGCACAGTCCCCCACTAGGAACCAGGTTTCCACCTGACCCTGCGAATCCCACCAAGATCCCACAGCCCAGAGCTTGCCATCTGTGTTCCCCACCTCCTTTTTAGGCACTATGAGATGGTCTGCAAGCTCGCAGAATGTAAGTCTCTAAGGAAGTGGAGATAAAGGATCCTGGCTCTCCCACTCAGCACAGCCAGAATCCCCTAGAGCAGTGGTTCTCAACCCATGGGTTGTGACCCCTCTGGGGAGTTGATGATCAGATATCCTGAATATCAGATATTTATTTCACAATTCATAACAGTAACAAAGTTACAGACATGAAGTAGCAATGAAATAATTTTATGGTTTGGAGTCACCACATGAGGAACTGTATTAAAGGGTGGCAGCATTAGCAAGGTTGAGAACCACTGACCTAAAGCGCTTGTTAAAATAAGCCTGTGAGCTTCCCAACCCTGGGGCTTCTGGCCCAGCTGGGTCAGAATGGGGATCTGGGTTCTGCATTTCTAATGAGTTCTCCATTCTTACTGAGAACAACTGGTCTTGTCAAACCTGGAGGTTCTGCAGGCTGGACATGAGGACCACCCCAGCTTGGAGCAGGACACTTACTTTCATTGCAAACGTCTTGCCACAGCCATCATGCTCACACACAAATGGACGCTGTTCCTCGTGGAAGGAAAGAATGTGGCTCTGCAGGTTGAAGGCAGTTGTGTAGGTCCTCCAACAGCCTTGTCTCGGACAGAAGTACACCATCCTTTCTGAATCGTGAGTCTTCATGTGCTGCTTAAGGTAGTCTTTGCGCTTGAATGTCTTCTGGCATACTGCACAGCTGACTTCCTCTGGTGGAGAGACACTCATTTAACCAGTGTCCCTATCTTTTACCACATAAGTCTAGTTCTGTGACTACACACAAACCAGAGATTTTGGAGGAAACTTAAAGCTCTCGGATCACTACAACTACCTTCAAATCCCTCAAGTTCTCTGATGGCTCCCAACTTCGCTGACTCCTCACTTGTCAAGGAGCAGGTGACCTTACTATGGTGTCCAGGCAGGCAGAACTAATGCCCATGGCTTCTACCTTTGTCCTCTGACACACAGCAACATTTCCCAGGAAGCCCTGGAGAGCTACCGTGTGCACCTCACAAAAGCTGTGGGCATAGCAGCACCAGCTCAGAGACCTGCAGCAGCCCAGGAAGCCAGCACTACGCATGACGTCATGCAGAGCACTTGCATGTGTTTCACTCTTTTCCAAAGCATGCCACCAGCTCCCCGGGCCAAGGCTCTTCCTCAGCTGCACATTCACCTACCTTTGTGAGCTTCTCTCATGTGCTTCAGAAGCTCTGTCCATGTCTTTGCCACAAAAGAACATCCCTTCTGACATAGATAGCCTGTTCAAAAAAACCAAAAAATTACCCACTGCCTGTTCTGAACACCCAGTGCAAACAGCCAGGAAGGAATGGCGTGCCCATGTAGTCTCTCTCCTCTCTCAGAATCGTGCCACTCTGCTGGCTGCAATTAAGTGGGTTCGTTCTGTTCACTGCTCTGCAAACTTCGACTACCTAAATCTTTTGCGAACTTTAGAGTATAACTAGAAAAAGAAACGCACAGGTGGTACATAAAAGGGTGTTATTAATAACCGTGAAGCACAGCCAGGTGCTTAGGAACAGTACAACACAGGTTTAAGAGGCCAATGCCCAAATAACCAATCAGTGTCCTTTGCTACACAGCTCTGTGTATGTACTTAGTGAGACCATGGAGCAGACCAAGGATGCCCAGCAATCCAAGCAGTGAGCACATGCTGCTGCTGGTGTGCTCCTCTATGCTGGCACAGTGCCCATCCATACGTACCCTCGTGAACCTTCATGTGCCGCTTCAGCCTGCTGGGTGAGGCAAAGTGCTTCCCACATCCCTCCTGGGGACACCTGGGAAAGCAACCCGTGAAGTGTTAGCCAGTTCCTTCCCATGGAGAACTTTGCTGAGATCCCCTCACCAGAGCCCACTGCTTCCCACACCAAACTTGTCACCAAAATAAAAGATTCAGTATAGCCCTAAATACAAACACCAGTGACTTGGCCAAACAAGCTATCTTGAGAAAAACTCACACATCTTTTATGTCAGTTTTCATAGTTCTGGAAATATCCTGTATTGTGGCTACAGAAGCCTGCTTTAGGAGGGTGGCTGACTTTGTATAGGTGACACTAGACTATCCTGAGCTGTTTGTCTATGGTGTGCCCAATATGCCACATATCACCAGATAAGAACACAGCATAGGTGCAGCTCAGTGGGGACCAGCACCAGAAAAACACCAACAACAAATGGTGTGTGTAGCTGGGCGGTGGTGGCGCACCCCTTTACTCCCAGCACTCAGGAGGCAGAGGCAGGAGGATCTCTGTGAGTTTGAGGCCAGCCTGGTCTACAAAGTGAGTTCCAGGGTAGCCAGGGCTACACAGGGAAATCCTGTCTCAAAAACAACAACAAAAGACAAATGGCGTTGGTTGCTGAGCATGGTGACACATGCCTGTGACTCTAACACTGAGGAATGGGGCAAGGTGAGAGTTTAAGGCTAGCCTGAGTTATGCAGCTAGATCCTGTCTCAAGAAAACAAGAGAGGGAAGCGACAGGAGAAAAGGAAGAAGGAAAGGAAATGCCAGATGCAGGGGCTTCAGGTGACTGAGGAAACAGTAGTGTGCTGAATCCGCAGCACCAGTGAAAACTGTACACAGTGCAGCGCCACAGCCACCGGCAGTACAGAGACTGGTCACAGGCCTGTGAGTAAGACAGCACTATCACTGCAGCAGCACCAGGGCAAAAGGTGGCCTGTGGGAGCCAGAAACAAGGTCCTGGTCATCGCAACTGTGCAGAGACACCACACAGGCAGGCATGCAGGCATGTACATGAACACACACACACACACACACACACACACACACACACACACACACACACACACACAGTCACTGAGTACTCAGGAAACCCTCTATGCAAGCGGAGCCCAATTACTTCTGTTCTACAGAAAAAGAACCTCATGATGGCATGTCACAAAACTAAACAGGTGGTTCCTCACCTTCCCTTCATACTTAACCACAGCTTCAAGACTCTCACAAGCTGTTCCCCACACATGCAGAATGGTTTTCAGAGAACCAGAAACAAATAGATTTGTTAAGTCTCCATGGGCACACACAACAGCCCACTCTGGACCCTGATCTTTGCCCTTTAATCTGAACTCCAGAGTGTTGGCTAAACACGGACCTGAAGAGTGGCTCGCCAGTGTGCTGGCACTGATGTGTTTTCAGCTGCTGGTGTTTCTTAAAGGCCTGCGTGCAACCTTCAAACCCGCACTGTTAAAACACAAATGCACTGTTTAGTAAAGGAAAGAATCAACAGTTGCTGAAGTCCTCTTGAGGGCTACTGATTGCCCTATGCTTAAGAACACTTGCTTCAGGGCTAGAGAGATGGCTCAGAGGTTAAGAGCTCTGGTTGCTCTTTTCAGAGGTCCTGAGTTCAATTCCCAGCAACCGCATGGTGGCTCACAACCATCTGTGATGAGATCTGGTGCTCCTTCTGGCCTGCATGTACACAGGCAGACAAAATACTGTATACACCATAAATAAATCTTTAAAAAAAAAAAAAAAAAGAACACTTGCTTCTTTCTCCAGGACCCAGGTACAGATTCCAGCACCCACCTGGTGTGTCACAACCATCTCTAACTCCAGTTCCAGAGAAACTGACACCTTCTATTGACCTCCACAGGCACTAAGCATGCATGTGGTGCAGACACATATGTAGGTAAAATACTTGCACATAAAATAAAATGAATATAAATATAAAACTTTTTAAATTAAACAAGTTTCTCAGGATCTAAGTCCCTTGGGGGATATAAACTGTCACCCACTTATTCCCTGTGAGATGCTTCATCTCAACAACTTAAAGAGCAATGACATCCAGAAAAGCCAACAAGCTTCTGCTGGGGTGGCCATCAATAACACAAATGTGCCCAAAGTGAGTATGCAAAATGAAAACTTGCATGATGAGGACACCCAATGCTGGACTGCACACATCCAGCAAGATAAAATCTGGTCTACACAAACTCACTTTGGTGGCAAATATAAAAACAGTCAAAGTTGAAACACATAAAGCCATACTCACTGTATACTGTTTTTGTGGGTTTTCATGTTTGCGTTCAATGTGTTTCTTCAAGTTCGATTTTGTGTTGAATTTCTGATTACAGCCATTATTTTCACAACTGCAAGAGATTGCATGAATCAAATTATAACACACCAAGGCGAAAGAAGGTTTTAGGGTATGAACATCTGGGGCTGGAAAGAGCTCAGTGGTTAACAGCACTGGCTGCTCTTGCAGGGGACCCAGGTTCAGTTCCTAGCACCCACGCGGTGGCTTGTAACCATCTGTAACTCCAGTTCCAGGAGATCTGATGCCTGCTTCTAGTCTCCACAGGCACCATGCCCACACACAACACAGAAATACATGTAGGCAAAACGCCCATACACATAAAATAATAAAATACTATTTAAAAAAAAAGATGTGAACACCCTTCTACTCTTTAAAAAGCTGATGATTCCAAAGAACACTATAAAGTAGCCTTTTAGTAAAATCCAAATTGTCAAGCTGGGATTGTGGCTCAGTGGAAGGTCTTGTGTGGGTGTGTGTGGGAATACTCCCATGTGCCAAACCATGTCATGAAGGCCTCAGCTTGGACAGGTGTGCAACAGGATGCTTTGCACTTCCACTCTGGGCAAAATGTACACTGGGTCACCCATCCCTGTACCCTGGCAAAGGGAGGGACCACTGGCTTCAGATGCCTGAATGCTGCTCGGGCTCCAGCAGGGCTCAACCACTTTAATTTAGAATCTAATAACCTTCCTTTGTGACAAATGTCATCATAAACTGCATTTTCAACGAGAAAGAGAGCCTGGCTCTAATTCTGTCACTACAGGTAAAACAGAGAACTGTGATCACTGTCACCTCTGGGTTGTCACTAGGCTAATCCAGTTCCCCTTGTGTTGGAACCTTGGCCTTGAAGGAGTAAAGTTCCTTGTGACGAGTTCATGGTCCTGAGCAATGAACAAGGACCCTTCCCCAGTCTCACTGCATGAGAAGATCCCCTCAGACACTGTGCACCTGGGCAAGGAGTCAAGAGCTCCGCAAACACACTGCACTGCAGTGCAGTGGCCAGACCAGCACACAGGAGGGCTGTTATGTACCTGAGCTTCCTCCCCACGGCTCCTGCAATTAGAGGTGGCCATATGGCTAAGTTCAGGCCATCCTACTCAACTCTCAAGGTGCCTAAAATGGAACAGCACTGTCTACTGCCCTCCTTGAAAGCACAGGGCACAAAATAAGCATCTTGAACCATACAGTTGAAGCCCCAAGATGAGAATGGCATAGAGAGACCAATTTGGAGCCCAGTCCCTGACGACCTCAGAGTACCCCTATACTTTCCAATTCTACTTCTGCACTCCGGTAAGAACACAAAGAGCCCAATGTGTAAGTGCCTAGTCCTTATCTCATCTTCACTCTAAAACTGACACAGACATTTCAACACAAGTGCAGGAGGACAGGGTCACAAATCCTGGTGGGAACCAAATGGCAGGGGCAAGAAGCACCCTGGCAAACTGGAGTGAAAAGTGTTGTCAAGTACAGCTGGACCACAGTTTCACTTCTGAGGGTAACGCACACAGGGAGCGATAAAGAGAAAGCACACAGGAGCACAAGCTATTGATGACATATAAGGGACATGGACTTCATATGATCTCAACACAAAACCACTTCAGTCATAAAGTCACCTGCTTGTGACAGGAGCCAGTCTGAGCCACAAATAACACTTAACACTTCAAGATCAAATTCAAGTTGTCAAGCTTGGTGGCAAGTACTTTTACCCTCTGAGCCATTTCACCAGCCTGCCCTCCAGTCTTAATCGTATGAATCAGCAATCATCCCGCCAGGGCTACATGCCTAATAGAAGAACCCACTCCAAAGGCCCAGTCCGCCCCTACTCACACGAACGCCTTTTCGCCAGTGTGAATCAGGACATGCCGACTCAGATGGTAGTCTCTGATGAAAGCCTTGCCACAGCCCTCATAGTCACACACAAATGGCCTCTGGCACAGAGAAAAGGGGGAGGAAGGAAATTTCACATTTTTATTTATTTATTTATTTATTTATTTATTTAGTGGTGTGTGTGTGTGTGTGTGTCTGTGTGTGTGTGTCTGTACATACCACTGCATACATGTGGAGGTCAGAGGACAACTTTCAGGAGTCAGTCTGGCTATAGGTGCCCCTCCCCACTGAACCACCTCATCGGCTGTTTTTAAGTCTGTGTCTGGGCAGTGGTGGTGCACATGTCTTTAATCCCAGCACTGGGGAGGCAGAGACAGGCAGATCTCTGTGAGTTCGAGGCCAGTCTGGTCTACAGAGAGAGTTCCAGGATAGCCTCCAAAGCCACAGAGAAACCCTGTCTCAAAAAAAACAAAACAAACAAAAAAAAGATCTATCTGTGGTAAGCAAAAGCCTTGGACTTCCTCTCCAGGGATGTGTCCATTCAGGAAAACACCTGCTACACTCAGGCAAGAGATAATCATATTGCATCAAGTTCCACCCCATAAACAGCCCATCTTCTCACAAGGTCAATGCAGTAAGCAGATCTTTATTTTATGGAAAGACACTGTACTGGCTGGTTTTGTGTGTCAACCTGACATAAGCTAGAGTCATCAGAGGAAGGAGCCTCAGCTGAGGAAAGGCCTCGATTAAATCCAGCTGTAAGGCACTTTCTAATTTAGTGATCAGTAGGGGAGGGTCCAGCCCACGGTGGGTGGTGCCATCCCTGGACTGCAGGTGCTAGGCTCTAAAAAGAGCCCAGGACCTGAAGCAAGCCAATAAGCAGCACCTCTTGATAGCCTCTTAACCACTGAGCCACCTCTCCAACCTGAAACTGAAATTTTAAAAACTGAACTTATAAAGGCTGTGGGACTTTTAAAATTATTTATGATTTTAATGTGAGATCTTGGGGATGAATAAGATAGGATGGGATGTGGCTTAATGGTGATGTGTTGGTGTGTCAAGTTGACAAGGAGTCAGTTACTGGCTGGTTTTGTAGGTCAACTTGACACAAGCCAGAGTCATGAGAGGCAGGAGCCTCGGCTAAGCAAATGCCTCTCTGAGATCCAGCTGTAAGGCATTTTTTCATTTAGTGATCAGTGGGGGAGGGCCCAGCCCATGGTGAGTGATAGAGTGATGCCATCCCTAGGCTGCTGGGTTCCATTAAAAAAAAAAAAAAAGTGGAAGCCTAGTAAACCCTTTCCTCCCAACTTGCTTTTTGGTCATGGTGTTTAGTACAGCAATAGAAACCCTAACTAAGACAGAGTGCATCTGAAATTAGCAGGCTAACCTGCCTATTGGGGGACCAGGCTCCCCTAGCAAACACTTTTCAAGATCACCTCGATATGCACACATGTGGACAGTCTACACATCTCTTCCACAGCGTCATTTTACCAACCAGGGCAGAGGAAGGAGCAGGTTGTCTCATCCCAGGAGAGCTCAGTATGTGTACTGAGATGTCAGAAGCACCGATACAGGAAAATGTGTCACAGCTGAAAAAGCTCACAGGTGCTAGGACAAAGGAAACAGCTCCCAACCCTAACTGCAATCTCCCTTCAGAACCCTGGAGGGATGGGAAGGGATGCTCTGGTGGATCCACAGTAAAGCTGTATCATGTCTCAACATCCGGTTTGGTGTACTAACTAGGGAAATACTCTGAAATCCAGGAGGGTGGTACCAAGACCTCAATCTCAACACTAGATAGCCAGGGGACAGGAAGACACAGGTGAACCCCACTGCTCCGCAAAGTCAAAGAACTTTGTTCAGCTCCAGTCCCAGAGTAGAGTGGATACTAGTCAAATTATTGTTGGGACAATAAACACAACCTAGTGTCCAACCAAAGTGCAGCAATTTGGTCTAGAAGGAAAGGCAAGCTCTGACTCGGACACACGGACAAATGTGGGTGTAAAGAGATGAGGGGGGTAAAGTCACAAAGGATGTTATGAGTGATGGCAGCAGTGGGTAAGTTTACGAAGAGAAGGGTCAGGGGAAAGAGCCAAACAGGAAGGCTTTACCTGACCACCCCTTACCCGGCCTTGGCACCTGACCAAATCACTCCTGCGGTTAAAAGGATGCACACTTGTTGCTTGCAGGAACCCTTAAGCTTTCCCCTGCATGAGCTCTAGGAGGCAGATTTTCTGGATGGGCGTGTCTAGTGGTAGCTGACTTCCAGATCTCTGTCCCGGCCGGACGCCCTACTAAAGGTAACGGGGCGAAGGCTGCCCTAGACCTCTGTCCTTGCTCAGCGTCTTCCCCGGCCAAGCCCACGACGCAGCCCCCGCGCCGGGCTCGCCACGCGCACCCGCAGCCAGGTTACCTCCCCCGTGTGCTTGCACAGATGCGCATCTAGCTTCCAGGCTTTGTTGTAACTGGCGCCACAGTCGGGGAAGGAGCAGATGAATCTGCTGGGGAGCGCGGGGCGCGTCGGGGCAGGACCCTCACTGGCCGCAACGAACGCGTCCGCGATGGTCAGGGACGACACGGCTTCCACGACCGAGACCTGCGGCTCCGCCGGGGCGGCGCCGCCCCCC